CGCTATTTTTATAAAAAATAATACATATAAATATATTAGATATATGCTTAATTCATTTAGGCCGTGCATTTTCAAGCTTTATTGCAAAATAATAAATAATTTTTAACATATTTTGAAATATGTTTGACTAATCTTTTAACTGGCTGGAATTAATAGGCTCTCACTATAAACGCAAATCCTTTTAAAATTTTTCAATATAGCTAATATTAAAAAAAAATTTTAGTAGTATATCGTACCATAAGCAATACATAGTGCTCGCTTTAGATTCCAGAATTTTGTCCACTTTAGGGTCCATTGCTATCCCCGCTAACTTTTGGAAATGGGACCTCAGAATGAACTTCAAACGTCTCGGCTGAAATAAACTGTTAGACAAAACTTGACACCGATCTTTTTCAATTGTTTCGAATATTCACATTCATTTCTTCTCTTTCCTCCAACTCAATTCGAGGAAGTCGCATTTCCTGCATAAGCGTCCCCATTTGGTCCCAACTGCGGACGCTAAAATGGGCATTACTCTTGTCAATAGAAATGATGTAATATTCATAATGATACAATAACAATACTAATTGACATAAGATCAGAACCGTTTAAGTACAAATTTTGTATATTTATAATCGAGTATCAGGAACTTCTCAAAACAACAAAATTAAGACAAAAATTTGTTGCATCATAACATATTAGTTGGACTCAATAGTAGCCACTTACAATTAGTCAAGTACTGTCGGATTTCTCGTTGCAATATGACACGACATCTGTGGTCAGCTTTTATCGATTAGTGTAACCTTATTTGCGGTTTAACCACAATTTTACTAACATCCGGTATATTAAAACACGTAATCAAATACCGAAAAAATCTTTTATTTGAAAAATTAATTAATATTAATATTAAATTGTCCTTATACATTGTAAATGCGAAAAAATATTTTTTCGTAATCTTGTGTTTGAGCCACTGTGCACAGTAGTATTACTTAATTCGATTCTAGCAACATCCATCAATTTCTACAGTTAAACAATTTATTGCAAACGTATTTCTTTCTAAAGATGAAGTAACATACGAAAATAAAAGAATAGTTCGTCAATCTCAAAGAACCTTAGATCGGTATCATAATATCTATATTAAGTTTTTTCATTTTATTCTTACTTTTTAAGTCAACAATGTATAAAAGATGGCTTTTAAATGTTTTATGTTCTTAAATGTTTTAAATGTATATTTTAAATTTCTACTACTTGTAACAAGTTTAAATGTTCATTAGCTTTGAGCAAATATATTAAGCAATCGATTATAAAATTGTTATTCTATATATTAAAAAAATGCATTTTTCTACTGTTTAAAATATGACATTCATTTCCCAATGCTATATGTTATTCAATATACTATTAAAATACAACAAATGTCTGAAATATTAGTTGAATCTATTGTTATTGTAACCTTACTTTTATATATAAAAGAATTTAATCTAATGAGTTGCCCCAATTAAATTATGTAAATTTTAAAGAAATAAACAATTATCAAAGTTAGAAACTTCGTTTAATATTTCTTTTCTTTCATGTTTCCTTCTTAAAGCAGCAGTAAAACTCAAAATGTGAAGAAACTCTATAGAATATAATATTTATGTCTTCAATTATTGTTAACAGTTAAAATAATCCAAGGCTTAATAAACTTATGATTAAACCAGAAATGAGAAAAAAAAAAGAATAAAGTGGAATATAACTTGAAATATAACTTAAAATTTAAATGGTAATATACATCACTTTTTTCTTCTTTTTCTAAAATAAGTCAAGGATTTAACAACAGAAAAATAACTGTCAAGTTTATAAAACAACTCTGTGAATTTACAAATGGATATCTAAAGAGAAAACGCATTTATTAATAATAATTAGTAATACATTATTAACATTCTTACTCAATTTTCAAATATCTGGTCTTCAAAAACGTCCATCTTCAAATTTCTGTAATTTTTTACACACATTAAATAACTAATTTGAGTAATTATAAAATGATTATATAATTTCTTAAATTACCTTCATCCTTAGCATAAATTTATCATTATGAACATTGTAAACTACTCTCTACTACCTTATTGTTCAACTAGTTTCTTATTCAATATTTTCAACAGTTCTTCTAGTTCTACTTCTGATGGTAGATTAAGTAATTCACAACTACGCTTCCAAAATTGCATAGCTAACTCAGAATCACAACCCTTTGATGAAGTGCATGCTACTCTGCAGTTACTGAAAAACAAATAATTAGAGAAACAAGTAAGTAAAAAACAAATAAACTATAACACTAAATTAATTTTTTTTTATTTTCAGGTAAAATGACACACAAAATTAATAAAATCTAACTGATGCAACTATATTATACATTTCAAAACAAAAGGAGGTAGGGTACTTCCCAATTTTACATTGTTACCAACAATGTACAACTTTTCCTGGCAAGCTTTATATGTAACATATGTAATAAATTTTTATTAATTTTATTAAATTCTTTTTAAGTCAACAATGTATAAAAGATGGCTTTTAAATGTTTTATGTTCTTAAATGTTTTAAATGTATATTTTAAATTTCTACTACTTGTAACAAGTTTAAATGTTCATTAGCTTTGAGCAAATATATTAAGCAATCGATTATAAAATTGTTATTCTATATATTAAAAAAATGCATTTTTCTACTGTTTAAAATATGACATTCATTTCCCAATGCTATATGTTATTCAATATACTATTAAAATACAACAAATGTCTGAAATATTAGTTGAATCTATTGTTATTGTAACCTTACTTTTATATATAAAAGAATTTAATCTAATGAGTTGCCCCAATTAAATTATGTAAATTTTAAAGAAATAAACAATTATCAAAGTTAGAAACTTCGTTTAATATTTCTTTTCTTTCATGTTTCCTTCTTAAAGCAGCAGTAAAACTCAAAATGTGAAGAAACTCTATAGAATATAATATTTATGTCTTCAATTATTGTTAACAGTTAAAATAATCCAAGGCTTAATAAACTTATGATTAAACCAGAAATGAGAAAAAAAAAAGAATAAAGTGGAATATAACTTGAAATATAACTTAAAATTTAAATGGTAATATACATCACTTTTTTCTTCTTTTTCTAAAATAAGTCAAGGATTTAACAACAGAAAAATAACTGTCAAGTTTATAAAACAACTCTGTGAATTTACAAATGGATATCTAAAGAGAAAACGCATTTATTAATAATAATTAGTAATACATTATTAACATTCTTACTCAATTTTCAAATATCTGGTCTTCAAAAACGTCCATCTTCAAATTTCTGTAATTTTTTACACACATTAAATAACTAATTTGAGTAATTATAAAATGATTATATAATTTCTTAAATTACCTTCATCCTTAGCATAAATTTATCATTATGAACATTGTAAACTACTCTCTACTACCTTATTGTTCAACTAGTTTCTTATTCAATATTTTCAACAGTTCTTCTAGTTCTACTTCTGATGGTAGATTAAGTAATTCACAACTACGCTTCCAAAATTGCATAGCTAACTCAGAATCACAACCCTTTGATGAAGTGCATGCTACTCTGCAGTTACTGAAAAACAAATAATTAGAGAAACAAGTAAGTAAAAAACAAATAAACTATAACACTAAATTAATTTTTTTTTATTTTCAGGTAAAATGACACACAAAATTAATAAAATCTAACTGATGCAACTATATTATACATTTCAAAACAAAAGGAGGTAGGGTACTTCCCAATTTTACATTGTTACCAACAATGTACAACTTTTCCTGGCAAGCTTTATATGTAACATATGTAATAAATTTTTATTAATTTTATTAAATATTATTATTACTTTTTCAATATGTTTTTAACATTTCAAATAAAGAAACATTTAACTAAATAGTGTTGTTACGACCGCAATTCGGATCATGAGTATAACATATATAGAAATGAAACCCACTTTTTCTAGTCAGTTAGGTTCAGTCCCTGAGCCTTCGACACGCAATGCACTATGAAAATTCCATGGCATGAAGTAAATCGTAGTTCGAATACAAATTTGAACGTGAAAAGTGCAATATTCATCGAAACAAGTATGAAGACAGTATTAAATAGTTTCTAAGTTAATTCGTTGAATTTTCATTGTATTGTTAATAAGTGTATATATATATATATATACACACACATACATAACTATACATATATAGTGTATATATATACATAAGATGTAGTAAAAAGAAATCCATTATTTTTGTATGAAATTGAAGGCTTTATTTAGCATAGTTAGAATGATCCGATTTAGGTCAAATATGTACCGTTTTGTTCAATAACTTATTGCCATTTTAAAGGTAGCTCCATTATGCCTCTCCCATAGGAACTCTCGTCCCTATTGGCAAAAGACTGGGACAGTCAATTTTCACCAGCTTCTCTTGAGGCGAATTTTTCACAAGCAAAATCATTCGTCATAGACAGAAACAGGTGGTAATCACTTGGTGTCAGGTCCGGACTATAAGGTGGATGTATAAGAACCTCCCAACCATGCTCCGGGAACTCCTGGCGAGTTACTATCGATGTATGTGGCCTGGCGTTATCCTAATGAAACATAATTCCTCTCTTATTGGCCAAAGCTAGCCGTTTCTGGGCGATTGCTTCCTTCAGACGGTTCAATTGTTGATAGTACAAGTCCGAATTAAGAGCTTAGCCGTAGGGGAGCAGCTCATAGTAGATGATTCTTTTTGTATCCAGCCTTATTCAAGTGGTTCCAAACGGTTTTTGTGCAATGTTTAACTCCTGGGTAATCGAAACAGTGCTTACATGACAGTCAGACTCGACGATTTTCATTATTTTATCGACATTTTCGACAATCGGCCTTCCAGAACGTGGTGCATCTTTGATATAAAAATTACCGGAACGGAATCGACGAAACCAAAATTGCGCGTGATCGGCAGTTACAGTGTCAGGACCATAAACACTAGTTAAATTTTTAGCCGCCTGGCTTGCGTTTTCGCCTTTATCGAAGAAAAGCTGTAAAATGTGACCTATATTCTCTTTGCTTCATCTTCGACAAGCGCTCAAACAATACTGAATCAAGCAATCACAAAACTGTTTTAGAAGTTTTTTTTAGTACGAAATCTTATCTTTCTAACGCCATCTAGCATAATCCAATCACACTTATACCACGCGAGATATAGATCACTGAAGCCACTTATTGCAAAAATGATGGATTTCTTTTTACTACAATTAATATATATATTAGATTTAGAATTTGTTTATGCCTCTTTCTTTTTAAAGTGTTTGAACTCTCGATACATTGTAAGTATAGTAGTCTCTGTTGAGAGCAAAATCTATCTATAAATTTTCATTTTTTCACCAGTAGCTCCTTATTATGTAATGAACGTTTATATAAAACAAAAACTGTCAAATTGCTAAGTGTGATTTTCTGCGATTATCACTGTAGATTCAAATTTTTATGAAAAATCGGAGGCGTCGAATTAAAATCTCTACAAAAGAAATTAAAAATATCACATGAAAATTGAGAAATATCAATGAAAAATCCTATAAAAGATTAGTAAACATAAATAAAGCAAAAATCCTAGAAATTTAAGCTCTCCTCTTCATGAAATACTAGGATGTGTAAATTTAAATCCCTGTAAAGAACCAGGATGTTTATATTTAAAATTTATAGGAGGCAGTGATAATAACATAATCTATAAAACCTTGCTTACCATATGTGTTCAATCATTTATCAATTTTTGTTAGTATTACAACTTCAATATTGAGTGTTAGCAATAAAATTATTAAAGAAATGTCAAAATTAAAGTAGAAAGTACAACAAAGATTTCCACAAAAATAAACTAAGACACTGTAAGCCAAAGATAAAGATATTGAATTCATAAGAAGAAGAGGCGTTACCAAAGTTAACAGCACATTTAACACAAATACAAAATCACAACATTAATTCCTTAAGAATCATGGTTCTTCTAAGAATATTATCCATTTTACTTAGTTATTTAATAGTATTCTATTATAGAGTATTATCAAACTAAATTAAAATCTAAATCCATTCTTAGAAGAACATAAATCTTAATAAAAACATGGCTAAAACCTATTGAAACCATAATCTAATAAATATATATTATTTTTCCTACCCCAATAATGAAGATTTAGACTTTAGATATACTCTGAAACAACTGTACACGTATCTATGTAAATGGCAATATTTTTCATAATCACACAAGCAACTACCATATATGATACTTTCTTCAATAATTACTCCTGATAAACAAATTGCAGCACTATCCAAAACCTTTTCTCTAACTATTTAGCCCTTAATAGGTACTAACTGATTCTTCAGCAATTATATTTCAAAGAACTTTAAATTTATTTTGCAAAAGGTCAATGAGTAAATGTAACTAAAGTACTGGATGAAAAATAAAAATGTGTATAGTTTGTGATATTATGCAGAGGAAAAACAATAAACTCTGAACCAAATGTAACATAAGTTAAATGTTCATATATACAGGGTTCATAGTATATGTACTATGTATCCTACAAAAGAAAATAATATAATTTGTATAAATTGTCAAAATTGATAATAAATACTGTTTGTAGTATGATGATTACATGCTGTTTTGTATTATTGAAGAAATAGTACACTCATAAAGCATATACCCCAGCAAAGAAAAAGCTACTATAGCGGACAGCATTACAAAAGTATTCATAATTGATTATGACAGTAAACAAATTGCATGTCAACTGTCAGCACAACATACTACAACATAGCCAAGAGTACCAGTATTGTAATAAGACCATTAATCACCCTTTCATGTCACAAAGAATAATACTTTCTAATACATTGTCACATATACCGATTGAATGTGTAAAAAGAATCTTCACATGGAATAATAAAATAAATATAAGAATGTATTTAAGAAATCCATGTTTCTTAGATATGTAAATTAGACAGGCTTAGGAAAACTTCTTTGATAAAATGCTTACAAAAGTTCAAATGTGGGATCAAGAATCTATGATCAGAAACTGGTATTTGAAGAAACGAAGATCGATGTTGAGTTTGTGGCACCCAAGTTGTCAGTTGCGTATTTGATAAGTCTGCAAAATTATTTATATGATGGTGACGTTTTTGTTAAGTGTAATTAAGGACAATTACAGAAAAAAGGATTAATCAGCTAAAATGACGAATTGAATAAATCATATTAGAAGCTTCAGTTTTAACTTTTTCAATGTATAGTTATGATCAAATTGTTAACTAGGAGAATCATGATGAATACAGTTGTTTCTAGAAAGTGTACAACATAGATTTGTTCTAGACATTAACACCATTTTAAAGATGAATTAATACACTTCATCAATTCCACAGGCCCTTCATTCGTAAATGAAGGAGAAAGATATAATTGAATAACAATTATGTTATAATATATGTAACATGTATACTATAAAAAAAAAGAATATATTAATACTATATATTTACAATAAAATAAACATTTTATAGTAATTGAACTGTTCAAAGAAAGTATAAAATAATACAAAATATTATTTTTTGAAAATTTTAATACTTCCAATATTCGATCTTTTATTACTCTAAGAAATTAATGAAAAATTTTGACTTATTATGCAGAGATGCATCGGATGGCCACTCGATCAATATTTTTCTTAAATATTATAATAGTAATTTTTGTCATATATAATATTCTTTAACTACTGCCTGGAAATTTATATAACGTATAATAAACTCACTCATAATATAGGCCGGTTTCTTTTCCTGCGTTTTCATCTACAGCACAGTATAAACTCGTCTGAGCACCTTGTTCAGCAGTTTTCCCAAAAACAGTGGCTAATCTCATTAGTGACCTTGCACCTCGAAAAATGCTTCTATCTACATATCGACCCAGTTCTGTTTTTACTACTCCAGGATGTAGAGAATATACATTTATACCCTCAATTCCAGCTTCTGAAAGTAAATTAAAAAATACATTATTTACTTCATTTATCATGCTAAATATTGAAATAAATAATATTGGATACTGAAAATAATTACTATATTGCGTTTAAATAATATAAAATGCTATCCATTTTTTTGTAGATAAAACGAAAACCACACTGTATTTGATTAATTAGTAAATAGAAGAAACAGTTAATGAATGTATTTTTAAAAACCTAGTATTTTTTGTATAAAAACCATAACTTTATATAATTTTTTTTTCTTTTGATTTCTAACTTTGACCATTTTCATAATTATCAGCACTATTGTAAAAAACGTAATATCATTAAAATAGGATCTTTGTTCAACTAATTAAATATTTAATTTAAAAATATTTTAGTCAATTTATTGATACAAATATAACAAGCCTTACTAGTTATAAAATAATTTATCCACACACATAATGCTGTTACTTACCATGCAACTTTTTGCTCAATTCCTTGGTAAATAAAACATTGGCCAGTTTACTTTGACAATAAGCTTTAAAAGGAGTATAAGAACTCTCCAAATTTAAATCCTCAAAGTTTATGTTACCAACTATAATAAAAATCTTAATTAATAATCATTAATGTGTTTTAAAGTTTTTTTTATTAGTATTATTGGCATAAATGAAATGCAAACTCAATATCAATCTTAATCAATAACATTCGTGTATTAAAGACGCGTTGAGTCAATAATGTGAATGACATCTGACAATTTAGGTTTGGACTAGGTCCTAAAAATCCCCAAAATCTTTTGATTTTCAAAAATATCGACAGAAAATTTAGCTTCGTGACGAAAATAATAGATGCCATAATTTATTATACATTTAATAAACTTCGCTTCCAATGTCCAATACCCTTAGATATTGATTAGGGATAGATAAGAACTTTGTTCTTATGTATTTGTAGACTATTCAAGGAATTTGACCTATGATACGGGATTTCGATAGTGTGATAGAATTAACTGACTATGTATTATTTCAGTTTATGAAATTAGTCATATATATTGAAATTTATTATACTAGATTCTGAATTAATAATGAATATAATAAAATGTTAGTAATAAATAATAATATATAAAATATAACGATAAATTTATTCTGATTTACTGAACGAGATTTAACTAGGCTCTTGGCTTTCGACTTTAGCATATTTTGTCTAATAGCTATTATATTATATAATATTATATAATACAATATACTAGTTTATGTAACTAACTGAATGACAGCTCTTCTGCGATTAACTGGGCGGCTAACGATCTTATTATCCGCAGTCCTATCTTAAAACCATATTCCCAATTACTCTTATTGCAGTAATCGATGCAGGAATGGAGACTTTAGCCATTTTTGTTTTAAAAAAAAACAAGTTTTAAACAAACAGCTAATTTTATTAGTAACTAGAACATTCAGTTCGATTCAATATTGCATCAACCTTGTCCAATATTATTTCAATTATTATCTCGACATTTCGCTAGTACTATATTTCTATAACTTTTATAGAAATGAAAATGAGATGCAGAAGTTTATTCTTATGCTCAGATATACAATTGACTTTATTTCTGTCAAGAAACAGTGGTCACCGATCAGGAACATTTTCTAACTGTGCAATGGACGATTCAAAAATTAGGAGAAATGTGTTTCAGATAGGTTTTCCATGATAATAAAGATAGCATCTTTCTTAATGATGTTTACATTATTGTTGGAGATTTTCGGTATTTTGAGGGGAAGTATTCTTTGATTGAAACCATGATTTAAAATATCCTCTAACTTTTAGTTATGTAATGTTCTACTACAGTCAACTATATATAATTTAATTTGATACACTTCTAATATCTTTCCAGTTGCGTATACAAATTTCAGCCAGTTTCTTCAATATACACTTATCAAGAAGAGCAGAATATTTTGTAGATATCTGTCGAAAATACATTTATGATGTTGCATGTATGATTATTCTTGAAGTGATTTAATTTTCTTGTTTTTTAAATATTTTTCTATCAAATCTTCTACAAATCGGATTCGAAATCCGTAGTTTGAAAATACGAAATAAATGCCGATTGAGATTTACTATATGTCGAGAACTCGTAACCTTTTCTTAAACTTCGACATTTCGCTCGATCTTTTTATAACGATTGTCACATAACAAACTTATAGCCCAACATTGTGACGTCATCTGACACTTAATGGGTCATACTCCCCCAGATTGCCTTCAGGTCCACCAAAAGTAAAAGTAAGGTAAATATCACTGTTTTTGACGAAAGTGGTGAAATAATTATGAAATTATGAAACTGAAATTGACCACTTCGCTTAATATTTCGTCTGATTCAAAAATTAAATTTTGCGAAATCTTTGCATTTATGTAACTGATCTCCATAAATATAATATCATCATTCACCAATAATTTGCTTTCAATATTAGTTATTCTATGTCATCAATTTATGCGTGTTTCGCGATTCATTAATCATAAACTGAACATCAAGAACTGTGCAACTATGTGATCTTTATTAACTTCATCCATACATTTAAATTGATCTGACATTCCCATCCGATTGATCGAATTATATCTTTAAAATATACTACTCGCCATTCTTCTTAATAGGATAACTTCCTCCAAGTTTCTAGTTATTGCTAGTATCCCTGCTATGATTCTTCTTAACTTTACGTGTACGTTTGAATCGGTGTGATACGAAATACAGATATACAAGTACAAAGAACAGATTTTCTTTGCATCTTCATCTAATCGATTGAATTGTCGTTAAAATAAATTTATTGTACTTTTTGTCAATGGAATAGCTTCCTTCAAGCTAGTTGTTGCTGATGTCTCGTAAGATTCTACCCTTTGATCGATGCTCAATATTTTCGTTAACTTTCTATCAGCCGGGCCCTTGATCTTCTTTATTCTATAGTCGTAAGTGTCTTACCGAACTGCTCGACTAATGATGAGTGATTTAAACCAATAACAATTCTTATATATGTATATTCTTTGATCATTTTCCAGTGTTAGGAAAACATTGCTACCTACGACACGCTTGTAATATACCAATTGAAAAATTCGTCATATACAAATGATTGTAATATAAATTCTAAAAGGAAGTTGTTTTTAGAAAATTTATCTATTAAATATGTATAAATTTAGAATACATTATAAATTTCAGTGTTTTAATTTAAAGATATGCAACAATAAATATACAAAAATATAATTGAAATGATCAGCACAGAAAAAATGTGGGTCAATACTGGTCCAGGCACGGTTGTTGGCGGCTCCTGGAAGGGTCTCTTGATGGATTAGTGAAATTCTTTTGCCCTGTTTGCTAATGATCTTACTATGATACTATAGCACGTTTTCGTCATAATACTTGGACTTTTTTTCTGGATCAATTAACTTAATTACATTAAGTTAGTAACTAACATTAATACACCCACCAACTTCTCTTTTAAGAGGGCTTAAACTCTTGCGAAAGGAAACCTCAATTGAAGGAAAAAAAGAAGAAAGCTATCAGGGATTTAACTAAATATTCAAACATGGTTCACGAGTTGGCACCACCGTGCAAATTACATAAAGCATCACACTGGCATTCTAACACGTAGAAATAAGGAAGCAGGCCAACAGTTTTCTCGTATGTAGCACAGGAAGATTAATTTCTTTGCGTTGGTTTCTTCTTCGTGCTCTTTTCGTATTCGCTTCTGTGTTCGTTAATTTATTTTCTTTCCTGTTGAATTGTACATTCAAAAAGTAATCCTCACTGGTGACCATTGTTTCGTGATATAAACGCACTCAGTATATATATATATTATATCCCATCTCAAGAATACGACAGTTTCATCGCGTTATTTGAACCTTGTATTTGCAATACTGTCGAAACGTCGAAATAATATATACTGGTAATTATGAAAGTGATCTAAATCAGGAATTTAAATAAAATTAATTTAACATTTATTTTGCATTGTATTAATTTACATCGTAATAACATTTTCTGAAGTTCTAGAGAATCAAACCGTCAGCTTATGTTTGCGTTTATATCGTAATTGTAGTATCGTAGGACCCAAAACGGGAGAGGGCCATAAAAGGGAAAGTGAGTGAAAGTGTGTGGACAAGACAAAAACTAGACTCATCGGAAAAACATTCGTCGATGGGTCAGCGATATTTTCGGCGATCAAATGAGAGAGGGTAGTTTTAAGGAAAATTAGGAAAAACGCGGGACAATCGTTTTTGAGAAAGGAGAATTGTGTGAAGCTTGGTAGGAGAGGATTTCGAAAGAAATCGTGAGGGAAGTTGTTTAGAATTATTTTATGTTGTCTTTTCTTTATATATACATCACTATATATATACCATAATCAACCGTTTTCTTTAGTCAACCTTATTTAAATAATATATATATAGATACTACGTAATTAATTTTTTAATTTATCCACACACGAAGCATTGAATGTCTTGTAACGAAATATACGTGACTTAGACCATTTACACCATCCCATGTTTAGGTGGCAACACTGGTTTTCCACTAGCAAGCAGTGTTGCCACTAGCAAAAGAATCACACTGTATTGTATCCATTGAAAATCAAATCTGCTTTAATGCAAATTTAAAAACAAACCGGATCATTGCTTAATTTATAGCCACTCACACCAGTTAGTTACCGATTCTATTTATCGAATCAATTGAACGAATGTCATGGTGTTACGCTATGCCTTTAAACTTTTAATATTTTCTTTGTTGAACGAACTCATTGCACATAGGTAATAGGATAAATAGGGGAGACTGAATAGATATATCAATGAATCTATTTTATAACAATGAAAATTTATAATAATGTCTTTTCATGCAAAAGAATAACTTTACGTGTACAATATCGAATTTAAAAGCCTAGTAATAAGAGTGATATTGTAGAACATATACACTTTATGCAGCATCATTGCTAGGTACGATGCTTAGTTTACATAATCATATAATATCACGAGTACTTACCCTTATGCAAGTATGATGAAACATTAATTATTCTACAACCTGGTGCAGATTCTCGAATTTTTGGTAATAGTAAAAGTGTTAAAAGAAAATGTCCCAAGTGATTAGCTTGGAAATGAGTCTCGAAGCCATCTTCACTTTTTTCAAATGGATGCAAGAACACTCCTGCATTATTGATTAATATATGAATGGCTGGTTCAGTTGATAATAAATGCTGTGCACACTTCTTAATACTTGCGAAGCTAGTAAGATTCAAGTGACGAATTTCTAATTGTCCTGGTTCGTCTTCAGGATTGCTTTCATAAGCTCTGAAACTTTATTCGTTACAGACATCGTGATTTACTTTCGACGAATTTATGTAGTTGTATATATATAGTATGTAGAATAGTAGTTCGATAACAGTTTCCAATTTGGTACAATGACAAACAATTTTAAAACATTCTGCAAATCTGACCCTCAAATATTTTCGAAATTCAAGCTTGTTATCAATAACGAACGTAAATAAATACAAAAAGCACTGAACTTTTAGGTAAACTTAAACTCATAATTATTGAGCAGTATGTCAATGTTCTTATACCGAATAGTTTATGCAGTTGGCTGGAACTATAGCTTTAAAACAGTCGAAAATAAAAAGAATTGCGCAATACAAAATTAAATGATTCCAAGTGGTACATCATTCGATGACAAATTTTTATCATGGATGGCGGTATTTCGAGAATTTCATTAATCTTATTATATTAAATATACTAATTCATACACTTACAAGATATACTATAGATATACTATTAAATATAGATATATTAATTTATACATTTACAAAAACACACAAATTAGTAAAATGACGCACGAATAGTTTCTTTATTCCTTCTCAACTCTGCCAAGAATAATTAATAGTACTAAGGCTTAAGCAACCGACTTTTCATCAACCATTGCGAAAGAACGCATTGTCTCTTACAAGTGCGGGAAATTAAACAATTACAAATTACGATTCACGGGACGAGACATGAATGATTAAAACGTATAAGCGATGAAAGGAATGAAACGTAAGAAAAGAATATGTAAAGCTAACAAGTTTATATTATTTTTATGATTGATGGTACCCGGCCTTGTTCTAAATGGTCAATATGAGCATTGTTATTATAAATGAGATATTTGGAACTCTGAATAGGTCAACACATTTACCACTAGAATTACCAACTCATAATGTGTATCTAAATATAATACACATACATAATAATAATAAAAGTAATATAATGAAAATAAAATAATGTACACGATTATTATGTTCCTATCTAAACAAAAACCAAAATTAATTTCGCCAGAAGGAGCTGCGTTTCAATAACTACAAAAATGGGGAGTCTGAAATTAGTTATTTTAACCCTTTAATAGTTCTAGTGGTAATACTGTTCAGCTTCTTTTGTTAGGGTTCAAACATATCTAGTATACCACATAGTATAACACATAGTATACCGTTCAAGTCAAGCATTCACATTCGTAAAATAAGTGAAATGCAGACTAGAATATGCATTTTAGAACATCAGATCGAAACAAGAACTTTGTGAAACATGTATGAAACGACTTAAAAATGAAATAGGAAGAGTGCTTAAGAGATAATGGTGGATAATTGCACATGTAGCATTCGAAAGATTATATTATATTTGGGATACGGCATAAAGAGAAATGGGGAACAGGAAGCACATATAAGAGAAAAAGTAAGGAAGACAATGAAACAGGTACGGAGGATTGGCAAAAAGATATTTGGGGGAAACTGGATAAGAAGATTATGACTGTATAATAGGTTTATCCAAACAGTAGACAGATATTAGAATTTGAACTGATTTTTTGTGGTAAATAAAACAGTTTACTACGAAGATCAGACATCCAATGAAGTACAAAGGAACATAAGTCAAATAAAAGAAAATTGCAGAAGTTTTAAAAATAAATAAACAGGTACATCATGTAACATATTACTCGAAATTATTTAATTTTATTTCTCAAAATTTATGTCTATCTTCAACCATTTTAAAGCCACTACTCCGTAGAGTGTAGAAAACGTCGCTATACAAGGTGTTCCATTAAAATCGACTCGATAGAATATCTTTGAAACTATCGATGATACTAGAAAACGTTTCAAACAAATCCTGCATATGATCAAAGATGTTTAAACTTTCATTAGTGTATGACGCTTTTAAAATTAATATAATATATATTTTTAATTCAAATTAAATTGTATAAACTTCTCTCGTTAAACTGTAATGCTCATGCCACCTGTTGAGTTTTCTTTGAAACATTTGTTGGTTGTATCGAGTGAACGATTATAATAAACAAAAACTTCGTGTGAGATGGCCTTCTTCGTTAATTAACCCTAACAGAAGTAATTATACTAAGTTATTTTTTCAATTGAAAATATCACAGAAAAAGCTTTTCTATTACAGTTTTCATGTGAACTTGATTTAAAAATATCATGTATTTCTATATAAATAACTTCTGTTTTAATTTTTATTTTCTATTTACATTTAATTTATATTTTTTATTTACAAAACGAATATATCGAAAACATAAAATGATAAAAAAAGACACAATATATCAGAATAACTAAAGAGTCTTAAATAAAATTAAATGATCAATTGACTTTGAATACACACATATAAACAACCTTGAACCACTGTAATTTTCTAGAATTTAAGTTTCCTTTAAAACAATAATAAAATGAGGATAAAATAAACCACTTTTACGATTAAAGAAATATATTTCCAAAAAATATATTTTATGCTAATTTGTAAAATGAGACATAATTATCAAATACCTTGGAGGATTTTCCTTTATATCATCCACTGCTTCTTTTGCTTTATTAATATCACGACACGCTAAGATTACTCGTCCACCTAGAATAGAAAAAAAATTCCCACATTATTTTTATCAATATAAATAAAATATTAGCATTAAATATATATAAGCATATCTTTAATAAAAGATATGATTGACTATTCCAAGCAAACTTATAATAATATTTATTCATAGATAGTTTTGTTTTCTGTAAATTCGTTCGAAATATTTCAATTTAAATGAATATATAAATATTCTATAGGATTAAGATCTGGATTCTGAGATGGTCATAGTAAGAGTAATATTTTTCTTAAAAAAGTTTTATTGTTTGATGTATATTTTGAATCATTATATTACCTTAAAATTCAAATTTCCGTATAAACTGTACACAGTTTATTTTTTAAGTTACTGATATTTTATTCTGTCAAAATAGCAACAAGAAAATGTAAATTATCAATCTCTGAATTCGAAAAACTTAGCAACATTACTAAATATGTATCTGGAAAGTAGACATAAAACTAATTACTATAAGATACGAAAGCATATATAAGCAAAATACATATTTCCACTTAAATTATTTACATTGCGTATATTATATGTATTATATATCTATTAAAAGAAAAATAAATAGTTTTGTTCGATATTAAACATGCATATAAAAAGAATTAATAATCACAAAATATATACATGTTGTTATTAAATTTTTAAATAAATTATAAAAAAGCAAGGGAAGAGAAATCAAAATTGAAACTATCATTTAAAACATTAAGAATATTTAATATATATAAATATTAATTTTAACATACATATCATGTAAAATATCTCCACTTAGTTTGGTATTATATTTTCTCAACATTTATTATTTTCATTTCATATATTCACACATTTGCTACTGGTTTGATAAATAACATGATTAAACGTAACAAATGTTACTTTTTCTACTATTGTAGTCAATTCAAAAATATAAATTTTAAATGCTACATAATAGAAAAAATAATAAGTCACATCTTGTACTTTTAATACCATTCACATAATATTTGAAACATTTAATGTCGGTCACAATTTAATAATAGTTTTATGTCGAGCTTTATCTTACAACCTTATTTTTAAATAAGGTATAGAATATATACATATACTGTATATATATAGTACATTGAAATTGTAGAATTACATAATATTCATTATTTCCAATTCTTTAACTATAACACAAGGTGAAACGCTTTATTACATTAGTATACTGTACATAAAAACAGTAAAATTTCAACTATGGCTATTGTAATACACATATAAAGTAATAGTCTATAAACTTTATCATATTTAGAATTGTATATTATATTTATGATACAAATATAATCATTTTTTCCTAAAATTATATACTATAATTCAATAATGTTCTTAAAGTTAATACAGATTATAATAAATATTTCTTCATAAAAGTTTCTTTCATAAATAGATTCTGTTATAAATTTACAAAAAAAAAATTGCATTTGTAACTGTAAACAGAACTATATTAAAAAAAAATATATAATAACAATGAGTAATATTCTCTTTTAGTATTTCTTTTGATAGTTCTAAAATATTTTATACTATACATTATATAACTTTAAATAGCAAAGTCATAGTGCAAATTTTAGTTTTGAAGGGAAAAATATTAAGTAATTATATATCTATTAAAAACATTTTCCATAAGTAAATACGCAAGAAATATATAACCTTAGATATATTTGGTATAACAAACTGATTTAATAGTGAAGGAAATAATTTTTAACAAATTAATTCAAGTTAATACAAAACATTCTAAGAATATTAATTAATAAAATGTAAATTCTGAGAGATATCATAAAATACATAAAAAAAGTTATAATTTTAAAGTGATAAGTAATGAAAAATTCATTCTTGGGTCAATTGTTTTTCTTTGTTAAATATAACAATAGTGTTATAGATAAATATTTAAATATTAATTTTGTACATAATTATATTAAATGAAATAAGTATTAATATATATACCCTCCAGTCGAATTCCTAACCTATTATATGCATATAATATAACAATATAACAAGCATATAAATATGTACGTAAATATAATTAACATTATACCTTATAAATTACAAATTTTTATAAAATATATCAAAACACATTCACAAAATATATTATGTAACATATTATAAACTATATATATCTGATCAATATATTTGCATGCAAGCTATGCCTATTAATGCATTTACAAATTATCTATCAATCTAGTACATATTGTAATATTAGTTACAGACTAATACGTTGTTGGTGTACGTTAGTTACAAACTATTAACTGTAAAAACATAATTGGACATTATTATATAATTGATTATAATTAAGTATACGTATTATAATATTATGTTTTAAAATTGACACCAACAATTTAATATCAAATATACAAGATAAAATTATACACTCGATGAAATATTATTACATATATGTATGTATGTACATAACTACAATACTATAATGATAATTAGAGTAAATAAATAAATAAGTAATACATCGTAATGATACATATAAATGTATCTTGTTTAATTTTTATTTTGTAAAAAATATTAAAAATTGTAACATGATATACATATATGATTACATTTACAAGGGAACCTTACAGCAGGGGAAATCACTTTTGGAATGATAGTAGGTATTCAGTATCAAAAAATACTAATAGGTTTCTTCACAATGGGCAACAGTCAACTTGATAGAATATAAATCAACCGCTTTACCGACTTTCTCACAATTTGTTATGGTAAGGATTGTTAAATAATTTACTTACTAGGTGCGTACAAAACTTAAAATCAATTTATCTAGAAAACGAATGCCCATTGTGAAGAAACCTATTAGGATTTTTTGATACTAGATGTGTACTATAATTTGTACCTATTATCGTTCCGAAAGCGATTTCCACTACCCTTGTTAGTATATTAGTCAAGATATAGGGTTTTTAAGTTCTTGAATACCAGAAGTGAAAACATTATAAAAAGATATGTTAGTATATATAGAGCACGCATATTGGTATAGCATGTATAAAAATTCAGAATTACATATTTTGAAAATATTCTACTAAGTAAAAATAGATTATATGCAATGTCAATAATATAGTATAAATGTTACCTCTTCTGTATAAATCCCTGGCTGTTTCTTTCCCAATTCCACAATTTGCACCTGTTATAACAATAGTCTTTCCAGTCAAACGAACATTGCTTCTGCAATAATTACTTAAAAATCGCATGTTTATAAACAACTTCTCCTTACTAATTCAGACAATATGGTATAAAAGACCTATTTATTTAGAACTCCGCTTTACGAATAACGGCCTTTCTGCCGCTCGACTCCATTCACTTCGTAATTCCATCGAGCGGTACACTGAAATAACAAGTAAAAGTAGTGGGGTAGGAAATAATGATTATTTAGTGTACAAACACCATGGCATATTTATTTTGCAAAGTAAACCATTTTTACAAAGAAATATTTTTCTACAAACTATTAACTTGTAAATTATAAAATTTCACCATTTATGTAATTTAAAAAATTTTTTTTTAAAGTTTTGTACTTTGCATTATTTGACATTAATTAATTTAACTTCTATTGCGCTTATTAAATTACTAAACTTTATTTTATATAATATGAACATTTATTATAATTTTCTTAAATACACTTGTTTACCGACGGAAGTTAAAAATCTTAAATAATTGTAACTTCTTTGAGATTTTATCAAGTTATTAAAAAATTATACAATAAATTAAAGATTATTACGATTAAATAGTTTTTTGAAAGTATTAGATATGATTTTATCAGCTAAAGCGTAAATGAGGTATAAAAATTAATAAGTTAGCTATCTTGACAAATCTATTAATACATTAAGTTTGATTCCTGCAGTTTAACAACAAACAACTTTATTTTCATATGATTAAGAAGATAATTTTAACACATACAATTAAGATTTATTTAAAGGTAATTTGTGGTGGTATTTAAACTTATTATTATTAGCTTATTCATAAAATTCTTTTAAAAATTAATGAGAAGTTAAAAAATGTAGTATTTCGTAATTAAATTATTCATTTTTTACCTATATTAGGAATTTACGAATTTCTTAGCTTACATTTATATGAAAAAATGTATATTAAAAGAATGTTAAAAATTAAAATAATATTTTTAAATTAAATAAATATTAAATTAAAAAGAATTCTATGGAAAATGTATATTAAAAGAAGGAAGAAAAAAGAGCTTAATAAATTTTTATGTCTAATATTATAATTTATATTAATTTCAAAAATTTTCTACTAAAATTGTAAATTACAAAGAATACTATGTATTCTTTTGTATACTATTAATACTAGAGAATGACATTCTATTTAAAAAATTGCAAGTCATAATTGCTATAATCATTGAAAAATTATTATGTGGTAGATTATCAATTTATACAACATCAACAACATTTATAAACGAAGAGCTATAAAAAATTCATGTATTGCGCATAGCATTATATAATGAAAAAAAGTAGCATATTTGTCCTTGGACAACTATCTCGAACATAATAGTATCATAAAATGTATTAAATTAACACCTAATTTTCTCTTTTTTTGTTTTTAGTAAGATAATCAAGTTAAATTGAATTAAAAATGTAACATATCTTTTTTAACAATTCTTCAACAAATATTGCTGAAATATATTTATATAAATTTTTACAATATATATTTTATATTTTTCTGGCTATTATGTTGTACAAACTTTTTAAATATATTTAGAAAATTGTATTTTTTGTTTAAACCTTTTAATTGTACTTTTATAAATCGTAAAACTATTTAATATTAAGTCTTTTTACCAATGTTATAAATGCTTCAAAGTGACACTCTTGTATTTCTACTGCATTTAAATTAGGTACATATCTCGTGTTTGTCATCAAACAGACATTCTCAAGTTTCATTTTATATTCAACCTTCTATATGATTATACCCAAGTTTTCACTCAATCATGTAAATTTTATTCTGAAATTATACGCAAGTATATTGCGAATAGAGGATAATGATAATACATTTGAAACTCTGTTTGCGAGTTGTAAATAAAAATTGATTAAAATATCTCTGGAATCTGCTAAATTTTCGTGTATCAATGAACGTAAGCAGAGTATACATTTTATTCGCTCTAACGGTTGTTCATTCTAACGGTCGGCACGACTCTGTAACCATATGTGATAATATAATAAAAACAATTTTTAATTAGCAGTTATTCATAAGCTAAGTTGAGTAGGCAACATATAAAAGTAATGAAAATTTCCGAAATACTTTAGGGTCACCTTTAATTTTTTAAATGGACACATATTTTATTTTATTTTCCTTCTTTTATAATATCGTACAGAAAAATGAAAATATAAAGATGAATTCAGTTAATACAAGATGTAACATTTTTATTTACATGGTATTAAATTCATAATTAAATTAACTTCGTAACTAAAATTCGTAACTAACTAAATTAGTTTAGTCCTTATTGGTCAAAACTCTTAGCATATTTAAAAAATTTAGTATGAAAGATTCCATAGGATCTGATATTTCAAAAGGTAGAATTATAAATATCGAATAATGTCAAATAGATCAAATGTCGCCAATCTGGCAAAGAATTTCTCACACTTTTAACACTAGTACTACTGTCCTGTGATATACAAGGTGTCTCATTTCAATTTCCCAGTACGAAACCTCGAAAAAAGAAAAACGAAAAATATGAAAAAATTGTTAGACATCAGTTGTCTCCCTCAATGGTTTTGAGGAAGATTAAGCTATCATTTATTTGGTCTTGTAATGTCCTTGAAGAAGTCTACAAAAGTCAATTCGGAAATTTTTTAATTAAAATCTATTTTCTTTATTGTATGTTAGTGTAACTTGTATCAAAGCGTTTTTGGAACACTACCTACATATAATGTTTGTATAAACTGAGATGAACTGAGATGAACTCTCAAAGTTGACCTATCATTGACATTAGCATTATCCAATGCACATCGCTGGGAGAATACACAATTGGACTTTGTGCATTATAGTGACTCCAAAAAGAATTGATCAAGTGAGAGCACAGTATCTATACTACTATATACTACTCTACTTTCAAATAAATGGAAAGAGATCAAATAGCATTATTAGCAATATCAAATAATAATATTAGAAAACAATAATTTTTTATAAAAAATATTACTAAATTATTCAGATATTCATTCTATTTCAAAGTTCTAGGTTATGTATCATATTATTTTCCACAGTTTTATCGGAAAACACCCACAACATTTTTACTATTATTTTTTAAAGCAAACAATTTTTTTTCATCCAGCAATTTCTTTTCATCGAGCAATTTTTTGCATTTTTTCTCATCGGTCAATCTTACAACATTTGTTATCGTCAATGTCGAGTCATTAGTTACCGTTGAGTCTTCAATGGCCACGTACATAAACGTTATCTATGTAAATTGTTTAAAAGCAAAATACCGTTGATTTAATTGTCTTCAATAGTTTTTATAATTTTCCATCTCTAAAACTATTAATTTTATAACCATAATTCTCTTTACTTTTTATTCATATGTATCAGAATTTTATAAATAATTCTTTTATGAGTTCAAATTATTATTTGTATTATTTGAAAACTATAAATAAATTTTAAACAACTAAACAGATGTAAGTATATTTCTTAGATATATACATTTCTTATATATTACATATTCCTATATAATAATTAAAATTTGAATTTAAAAAATTAATTTAAAAATTAACGCCACAGTCATCCATCGATTAGTAATTTAACGATTAACTAATTTTATTTGTTTTTCATACTAGTGTTCCATAAACTAGTAGTTTTCATAAACTTTTCATAAAAGTTCTTCATACTTATTTCATAAACATTTTCTAAATTGTATTACAATTTTAATTTCTGTAGAGTGCTAACAGATTTTTATCTACGAAAATAAAAAGGTTTTATATTTTTTAGATCTTATTTATATTATTTAATCTTTGTATTAATGTTTATATTATCACTTTACAATTAGTTGGATTTTAAATAATATTCTCATTTTGAATTTATTATGACTTAGAATAAGTATCGTTTTGTAGGAAGGATAAATGGGAAAATATAATGCGAAATAGCGATTCACAAAGGTACATTTTCAAAAAGGATTAAAACATGTTTTCCTTTTTTTAGATAATGTATACATGTACATTAAGAAATCTATTTACAAACAAAACATAAATACTTATAATTTACAAACATTAGAATACAATTTGTATTCTTATAATTTCTATAAGTAGAAATATATATAAAAATTTGTATACAATTTTCAGTTTACATATTTTAGAAATTCTAAATACGAAATGACTGTCAAGCAAAGATAAAGAGATCGATAAAAGTTTAGAAAATGCATGAATAATACGTATATTTTATTCATTACATGAATATTTTATTTAGCATATAATGAATAAAATAGCATCAAAAAATTATAATCACAGATCGTAGCTCCATCACAAGTAACTATAAATCAGTACAACAAAAAAATTTCAAAAAGTATTTTCAACATCAGACAGTAATTAATAACAAGACCATAATAATGTATAATTGATGACACATTCTCACATAACAAAATGTATGTGATGCTAATTTTTACATTGATTTAATAGGATTACTAAATAATTTTCATGTTATTATAATTTATATCATGCTATCAATTATCGGAAAATAGTGGATAATAATCATATATTTTAATATAATATCATAAAACATTTAAAAGCTTAAAAAATTAGACAAAATAGTTACACGTTGAAATAATTAATAAATTATATACGTGCATAATTTGTATTCAATTGAATTTTGCCTTTTCACTTAGGATACTATAAAAAATTGTTAATAACTTGATTAAACTTGAATTATTATTACTTCGTTATATTCATTATGCTTAATTAAAAATATACTATACTCTTAATTAACCTTCAGCGTACTGTCACTCGCTGTAAGGTAACGGGGTCTTTCGTGACCCACAACGATATTTCACTAATACATGTTAGCGGCCTCTCGAACTCGAGATCCCCACCATTATTCCACATTATTCAGTCATTCAAGGTTAAGCTGTGTCAATTGAAAGTGTATTCTTCTAAATACACATTTTCAGTCACTTTCCCTCAGTGTTGGACTGGACAGAAAATTAGGATTGGGAAAAGCTGCCAATATAAGCTTGTAGTCTTAAAAATACTTGGACGATAACGACACTCCGGGGAAATACTAGTCCAATCCTGTTTTTTTTTCCGCAAAAACATATACATATATATTCCTTTATTTTTTACAACTATATCCTTTGAAATTTTTTTATGTAAAATATGAGAGAAAGAGAGAGAAGAGGAATGAAAGTTAATAATAAAAGCAATTTATAGTGAACACATCATTTATTGTAACACTTTTTCATTTCATCGATGGCATATAATTGCTCAGCTTTAATGAGAGTGCTCCATGCAAATATACTTATCGCAAACATCATAGGTGGCTGTAAATTTATTATTATTTCCAATACATATATGTACAGCATCTAGTCCGCTTTTGTCCTATTAGCTGAGGTTTGCAAATTTTTATTATTCTTCCTGTTGCTTGTATCGCATTTATGATATGCTTGTGGCATCTTGCTTGCTAAATAGCAGTTGCTCTTTTATGATTGTTTTACAAGATAAATTGCATTTAAGTGATAGAATAAAAAGAAAATTTTAATTTACAATAAAGAAACAAATAAATTATGTTATTATTAATATGATTATTACTAACTTGTTATTGAATAAAATTCCATTTTTGCAACTTTAAATTAAAATTTCTGAGAAATATAAGTTTTTATAGAATACTTTGTTCGGAAATTGTAGCAGGTAAGAGAATTCGTCAAGACGTTTTATCGCCGACGTATCGAATTCATGCGAGGGTACGCATCACATTGAAATTCTTTGTATAAACTGGACAGGGAACGATGGAGCAAAGTTAGAAAGAGATGATAAAATAAAAAGAAAGCGACGCATTCTTGGACAAGCTCAGCTCGAAAAGGTCCAGATACATAGTCTGCAAAATCAATCTGGTGTGGTTACTTTACTTTTGAATCGTTGTTAAATCTTTTACGTTAAAAAATTGTAATATTTATTTCAATTTATTTTTTTGCATGATTGTACAAGTGCAATGTACAAATGGTTGAAAAAGTACAATCAATTTGTGATAAAGAAAAAGCTGTATGTTAAATGTTACTCTGATGACCTTAAAAAGTGTAAGATCAAAACAAATCAACCCGGAGCTTTCGATGATATTCCTGGACCGAAATCTTTACCTGTCATTGGAACACTTTACAAGTATTTACCGTTTATTGGTAAGAAAATAAAATTCAATGTAAAATTTATCATGCATATATAACATATTTGACTAGGATTAAATACAGGTTTCTTAATATACTCTTAATAATACAAATAAATAAAAGTATGACGGGTATAACATGTTGGTCAAAGTTGTTTTTTTAATTTTTATTACTAATTTAACAAGTACAAATATTTTTAATAATTTAATGATATCAAAAAATTAAAATTCTTTTCATTTCAATTACTATTGTTTATACTTAATGTCGCCTGTATAAACTAATATCTTAATGTTGCAAGTCGATTATATTGTTATTGTTATTTTATTGAAATTGTAATATTTGATAGGCGAATATAGTTTTACAAATTTATATGAAAGTGGAAGAAAAAGGTTGAAGCGTTTTGGGCCGTTAGTACGTGAAGAAATAGTACCTAACGTAAATGTTATATGGGTATTTAGACCAGAAGATATAGCTGAAATTTTCAAAGCGGAATCAGGATTACATCCAGAAAGAAGAAGTCATTTAGCTCTTTTAAAGTATCGAAAAGATCGTACAGATGTATACAGGACTGGAGGTTTATTACCCACGTAATACACGTATTTCTATAGTTTTCAGCAAATTGCACTATACTACGTTCAGTATATTCAATACAATATATTATATTGTATAGTAAATTACATTCTGTACTACATATATGCAATATCTTTGTACAAAATTTATATATGTGTAATCTTGAAACTAGGTTAAACGTAAATGTCGCGACTTATATTAAATAAGATTATAATTATATTGCTAATTGTCTCTATTACTTAATCACTAATAATTTCGCGATAAATATAATCACGCTAAATACTTTTTTGTTTGGACCTAAAATGAAAAGTAGAGAAATATCAATTTGTAATATATTTAATGATTTCAAAAATTTTTGTTATATATAATTTTAATCTTGTTATAATATAATTCATATTGTATGCAAATTGTGGCAATAGTGCTGTATAAATAAAAATTAAGATAATAAAAGTAATAAAAAATAAAAAGTTTGAATGCATGTTTAATTTTTAATTCAACTAATAGAAATAAAAATACCAATCATACACTATTGAATGTTGTATGTAATTTTTCATTTAACATGTTTTGATTATTCTTTTGCAAAGTATGCTAAATAATTTATGTATTAGATATGAGAATAATATGTCTTTATATATCATATGTATGTAAGTACATGAAATATTTATTTATATGTAAATGATATAATACAATAAAGGTGTATAATTATCCATTAAAATATTTTTATGCTTATAACACATTGTATTATTAACTGAATACATAGAAATGTTTAATTAAGGTATTGCAATATAGAAAATATGTATGAAATATTGAATCGAATTTTAACTAAAGAATAGAATTAATTAGAATTTAATAAATAAATATCATGAAAAATTACATATTTCTCAAATCTTATGTTATTATTATTCTTTTACTAACTGTTAAACCCTTAATAATATGTTTTATATGATACATAATTCTTTAATAAAACAATTTATTTCTAAAAATTTTGTACACTTAATCGTGCATACTTGCAGTTTATTATTTATATTTCTTGTTATATATATATATGAAATTTTGCCATTTTGTTTCTGTTATTTATGAAATAATTACTATATAAAATAAGTATTGAACATAGTATTAGCAATATTATATGTATATAACATTTTATAAAATTAATTTAGTTTATGTTACAAATTACAGAAATGGACCAGAATGGTGGAGATTACGAAAAGAATTTCAGAAAGTTACTAGCAAACCTCAAGATGTAATGAATTATTTAAAAGAAACAGATCATGTTATTCAAGAATTTGTTGAGTTATGTAACAATGAAAAATTTGAAGATTTCTTACCAATTTTGTCACGCTTATACCTTGAGTGTAATATGACATATTACTTAGTATAATAGTACTGCTTTTTATAATTTCTTCTTTTCCAAATTAATATTTTTTTCTTACAGATCTTAATAATATTTCAAAGTTGTCTAGTATTATTTCTTAGTACAAATGTTGATAAAAAATGAAATATTATTTATGGTTTCTTATTTAACTATTATATCTTATTTACATTATAATTTGTTTATTTAACTTTTTCAGTGACATGTTTGGTTGTTTTTGGTATAAGATTGAATAGTTTCTCAAAAGAAGAAAGATGTGAAAATTCTAAAAGTTCTAAGTTAATTAAGGCTGCCTTTACAACAAACAGTGTAATTTTAAAGTTAGATAATGGTTTGCAATTATGGCGCTTTTTTGAAACACCATTGTACCGAAAATTACGCAAAGCACAAGCATATATGGAAATGTAAGTAATAATCTTCAATTTTACATGTAGAAACAAAATAATAACAAAATTAATATTTATAGTTCATATTTTGCATATTACGTAAGTCTTAAAAACTATAACTTTCATTAAAATTATATATGAATTATACAAATGATTGATAATATTTACACTATTAAAACCATATATACATATGTAACAATATTTGTTTAATTAAAATTAATGATACAAAACATATGCAAAGTTTATTATACATAATCATTTAAATTGAAATTATAAAAACACAAATAGCAAAAGTTTTAATATATTTAAAGTACTTGTTAATATTTATCATAAACAGACATAAGTGTAAATAAGTCTTAAACCTAACAAAAATAACTTAAGTATTTCATGCTTTACACTATAAATAATTTATTTTTAATTGTTATTTTTGCATTTTATACTTTCTTTAATGCATTAGGGTTGCTTTAGAACTGGTATCACAGAAACAAAGGGACATGAAATCACAGCATAACAAATCATTTCTAAATGCTTATTTAGAAAATCCTGCTCTGGACATTAAGGATATTGTGGGCATGGCTTGTGATATGTTACTTGCTGGTATAGATACTGTAAATATCATTAATATCCATAATTATACATATAACTAATGCTATACTTAATGTTGAAAATTGTCATGTAATATGTGCATTTTAATAGGCATATTTATCATTAAAATAAAAAATACAATTAACAGTCTAATTTTTGTAGGTGCATACTCATTGTACTCATTAATTAAATACATACAAAGTTTAGAAAATTATTACTATTTACAAATTAAAAATTTACTTATTAAGGTTGAACATGCTTATTCATGCATTAAAGGAAACTAAATAAAATTTTATCTTGTAGAGTTTGTACCTCAATATAAAATGTAATGTTTGTATATCATAATATAAAGTATAATTATACCTTAAAATACAATAATTTTTATTTTAGAATATTCATTTTATTAACTATTATTTTGCATTTTTGTTAATTGTTTAAAAAAAAGTTAAATTAAACAAATAAATTTTTCTTTTTCTAGACCACTTATAGTACAGCTTTTGCTTTATATCATCTTGCAAAGAATCAAGATATTCAAAACAAATTAAGGATTGAAACTCAACAATTGTTAGCTCATCATAATCAACCAATAACAGCAGATATTTTACGAAATGCTTTTTATACCAAATCTGTTATTAAGGAAAGTTTACGATTAAATCCTATCTCTGTAGGAATTGGCCGTATATTACAAACTGATGTTGTTCTTAATAATTATCAAGTACCTAAAGGGGTAAGTTATAAATTTTTATATAACATAAATTATACAATATATAAGTTTTAGCAGAATCGATTTTTGATGAATAAAAGTTTTATTTTATTTCATCTTTGATTATATTTTGAAAACCTAAGTAAACATGTTTGAATAAAAAATTTTTTATCTGTATTTGTCATATTTTGTATATTCATTTTTTTTTTAGACTGTTGTTGTCACACAGAATCAAATTATTTGTCGTCTTCCTAAGTACTTTAATAAACCAGATTCATTTATACCAGAGAGATGGCTGCGAGAACATTCAGAAAGCAGCAATAAAATATACCGTGGAAAATCAATACACCCATATATATTGTTACCTTTTGGTCATGGTCCTAGATCTTGTATTGCTAGACGTTTTGCAGAACAAAATATGCAGGTGTTATTACTAAGAGTAAGTTTTCAACTTTCAATGATTTCTCAAGGCTTTTTTAAAGTATGTGCATAAAAAGTCACTTGATTTTTAAAAACTAATATTTAATTGCTTAGTATATTATTAAAAATTTCTGAAGTATAAAAGAACATTATTCAGAAGAATCTATTTTCACAATTAAAACAAAAAAGATGCACTTTTTTTTATTTATTTATAATTTTTTAAAGTTTTGCTGAAAATTTCTTAACATGTACATGAGTGTATTGCTTTATTATAACAATAGAAAATATAGTTACATAAAAATAACTTATGTTTTGAAATTTGTAACAATTTATCAAAAATTTTATTGAAAAAATTTGTATACATATTAATAGTAAATACTATGTATAATAAGGCACACAATTCGAATTGATTATATTTTGTTTGATTAAAATGGAAAAAAATTGCAAAATTTGTTTACAAACTTTAATTATATATAATCAAGATATTTATAGTTAAAAATGTGAAATATTTTATAAAATCAGACTTTTAGTATATCTTAAAATTTAAAGAATTATTTTAATTCAATTGTATTGAATTACATAGAAAAAGTATACAGTTCAGAAAAATGTAGTTATATTTTTCGTGTATATTGTAATATTTATAAACATAATCGACAATTAAATAATAATTCAATTGTTCTCGGTAAATGTGAACGTTATGTATTAGAGAGCTCGCGCATATTTTCAATAAAACTGATAAAATATGTTTCGTTTTTCAATCAACTAAATTATTTACGGTAGAAATTTGAGTTTTTAGTTGTCCATGTATATTAATTTAATGTCTAATTTTTACAGATAAATAAATTTTGAATTTTATTTATATTATAATTTTAAGGATTTAAATTTATGAAGATTAAAAGAAAATATAATTTATATGATACTTTTTATTAAAAAAACTAAGTCAATATATGATAAAGTTATATAAAAAATATAGAGATGGTTTAGTGTTTCCACTTAGTTTCCTTATTTCAGTTTTATCTAGTTCTTTTTCATATAAATAAATTTAATAATAAATTTGATTAACGTATTATGTTAAGAAATTGTAACAACTTTTTCTTATATTTACAACAACTTTTGTAAATAATGTATTTTTAAATATAATGAAGAAAATTCAGGTGACTAGAAGTACTGAAACATCCTGTATTATTTTTATGATCATTAATTCTGTGAGTCGGGCTGTGACAAAAAATAATAGCAATCGACCACGTATCTTCTTATATATATTATTGCACAATATGAATCTATTGTCTTCTGTACTTTTTATTTTTTATAAATTTAGTAATTGAATGTTAAAACTAGTTGTGGAAGGTAGTACAAGGAAAATGGTCTAAGACTTTGTAAATTTATAGTATTTACAGAGTGAAGTAAAAATTTTAAAATGTCTGATCAATTTATTCTAAAATCAAAAATAAACATGTTGCAATCGATTTATTATTCTATATATTTTTTGAACTTTAGTTTTAAGAAATTCAAATCATGAAAAAAGTGTAGTTTTAAAATTTGAGGTCTAAAAGTTTTCATATTGCTACATGTTAAGAAAGTCATACCTATTCAAAAGTTTTCACTTTCTCACTTAAATGGAAATGAATTACTTCTTAATTTATTGTTGGAGCTGAGTTTAATATGTATGGCTTTATAAAAATATGTATAAATAAATTCAGTACACATGTATATATAAATGTATAAATAAATGTATATGTATTATGTGTTATAAATTTATTTATTTATTATATTTTGTAATGTAATATATTTATTATCTAATTTATTGTGTAATAAATATAACTCAAATAGTTTTATATCATTAAAAAATATGAAAATGTTTTTCTATACGAAGTAACAAATTTTTAACTTTGTGCAGATGTGTCAACGGTTTAAAATTTCTTGGCATGGAGATGAACTTGGAATGATATCTTTATTAATTAACAAACCAAATGCGTCGTTAAAATTCAATTTTCATGAAATTTTAGAAACCAATGGTGTTTATATTAAGGAGAATGATGAAGTTTAAAAAAGGATGTATTATTTTAAATTAAAAATATGTATAGGAATAAAAAAAAGATAATACTAAGTAAAAAACAAACTGTGGTTTATTGTGTATTTTATAATTCAGAATTAATTTGTATATTATAATTATCAATACAATGTTATTGTATTCATATAAATAGTTCAAAACAAACAAGGATAGTTGACCAAAAATTTAATTATATGTCATATATTTCGGAGTTGCAGAAAATTTAGCATATGACTTAATTACTTTGTTTACAGCTTCCAAAAAGTCTTTTTCTGTAGCTACTTTACGACGTGCACGAATCGCAAACATACCAGCTTCTGTACAAACAGAACGAATCTCAGCTCCAGTACTATTGGGGCATAAACGCGCAAGAAGTTCAAATCTAATGTCTCTTTCAACACTCATTGAACGTGCATGAATTTTAAAGATATGTGTACGTCCTTCTAAGTCTGGCAATCCGAATTCTACTTTTCTATCTAAACGTCCTGGTCTCATTAATGCTGGATCTAATGTATCTGGTCTGTTCGTTGCCATTAATACTTTAATATTACCTCGTGGGTCAAAACTGAAATATTTTAAATCATATAAATATAATTGTTATTTGTGTTATGAATTCTTAGAAATATTCAAAAATAAAAGTGAAGTAAATAGCATTTTTTACCCATCTAATTGATTAATAAGTTCAAGCATAGTACGCTGCACTTCATTATCACCTCCAGCACCATCATCGAATCGAGCTCCACCAATGGCATCAATTTCATCAAAAAATATCAAACATGCTTTTTTACTACGTGCCATTTCAAATAATTCTCTTACCATACGGGCACCCTGTTAGCAATAGTAATATAAGATGTTTATTTTAGAAAATAAAATATTATTTTTATTATACAAGTACTTTTATTAGAGAGGAATTGAAATTTACCAGGTAATTTCTTAGTTTTATTCTATGTATACGAAATTATATAGACTACCTATACTGAATTTAATATTTAAGAAGATATTTTTAACAAATTTTGCTAATTTGTAAAGATTTTTGATGCATTATAATCTAAATAAATTTTTATATGGCAATACAAATAAATAAAGAATTTTTAAAGAAATACATATTTTGTATTTTTCTTTATATATTTTTAAAAATTCAAGAGAAAAATATAGTTAGACTGATTGATGTCATTTTTTATAGGTTAAAAAACAAATATTTTATTTGTAGATTTATATCATGTTTATTTATATCCTTAAAATTTTCTGTTGTCTACTCTTATGTTTTCCATTTATTTATTAAGTTTCATCCAATAGGTTTAAGTTGAAACATGTTGTACTTACCTCACCAACATATTTTTGAACTAATTCTGAACCAATAACACGAATAAAACAAGCATCTGTTCTATTAGCTACAGCTCTAGCACATAAAGTTTTTCCTGTACCTGGTGGTCCAAACAATAATACTCCTTTAGGTGGCTCAATTCCCAAATTAACAAATTTTTCTGGCTGTAATAAATAAACTACTATTATTGTTATACATATAAAAAACATAATTCAGTAATTACAAAGTACTAACATGAAGTAAAGGGGTTTCAACAACTTCTCTCAATTTTTCAATTTGTTCTTTGCAGCCACCTACATCACTATATGTGACATCAGGTTTTTCTTCAACTTGCATCATTGTCACAGTTGGATCAATTTTTGGTGGGAGAGGTATGTGAATTTGATATTTATTACGATCTACTCCTACTCGCATACCTTCTTCAATGTCAGTTGGAGCAACTGAATCTGCTAAGTCAACTACAAACTTTGCAAACTGTTTAACATTTATAATGTATTTAGGATCATCTAAAATTATATTAATTATTTTAGTGCAACGTGCAACTTGTAATGGCTGTTCATTTTGTAAAGTTTGTTTATCTGCAGCTAAATCCCACAAAGCAGGTGGTGCAAGACCGGTATCGGATTCTTTGATTCCAGTCAATTCATTAACACGTTTAATTATTGTTTGTATATCATCTTCAACACCTTTAATACTTTTTGTATATTGTCCTTGACCCTGTATAAAAATGGTATGTTAATTTCATCTCTGATGAGTTAATTTCAAGCATTTTTGAAAGTTCAATTTGTCTTATTTATCTGTCAAACTTATTCTACAGTTGTACTTACATAAGTTTTAAGTAGAGCAATATCTCCATCATCCAGAGCTAAAAGAATAATAAGTTTACAATAAATCGTTAAATTACAACAATTAATGGCGAATACGTAATTAATAGGAAAACTTACATTTTATTTCCTTCTCTTCTTTTCCCTCTTCATTTTTTATTTTTCGCATATCATCACCCAAATGATCAGGCATTTTTCTATTTGTCAGATGCTTTCAAAAATTAGAAAACAAGTGCACTTGATTTAACTCGTAAAGAAATAGATGAAAAATGATATTTGGTTATGTTCTTACTTGCGATTACTAGCAAAAAAGCAACTCTTTCTGCTGTCCTCTATGTTAATAACTGTGAACTACTATTTCCCGAAACAATATGTTATCCGTATAGATAAATAAGATTACGCTTTTATCGAATCATACATATAAATTTTTCTATTAATATTATCATAGCAAAACACAGAATTAATGTACAATATTTTAAGATACATTTATATTATTTATATTATCAAACTTCATTCTTATTTATGAAAAAAAATTATCTTTACCATTTGAAACAAGTGAATTTAGTTTAATAAATTGTATCATTATCATGCAATTCAAGAAGTATTTGTACCGTGTAAGAGAATTAGTAAATCAAATTTGAAAATATTTCGATATCTTCCCTGTTTAAATTTTCAATAAACAAATAAGACTGTAATTTATATGTTAAAGATATTGCACTAGAGGATTTATGCAGTATTTCTACGATTATGTTAATGTTTATCGAAGTTAGTTGAACGTGTAGATAGAATTTTTATATATTTTTCGAATAATTTGAAAAAAGGAAAAAAATATATATATAAATAATTTAAGATAATTTGAAAATAAATTAAATTACCACTTTTCTCTTATAACAATTATATATTTTCAAGCAAAATAAATCTTAATATAGTACTCTGAAATATTGAAACACAAATTTTATACTTTTTTAAATATTTGGAAATCTTCGAAAATCGTGAAACAGCTGATGCTAATAAAAAATGTTTAAAAAAAGAATCGAATGATTTTAAGCAACATATAATCTGATGTGAATAAGTTTTTCCTAAACGAACGAATAGAAGACATATGCAGTTAAATTTTATTTTTTAAATAAATTTCCAGCCGTTGACGTGAATTTACGTCATTTCAAATTGCGTTTTTAGTTAATATTCATGTGATTTTAAAAAGTACTATTTTTTGTAAGCTTGATATTTTTAAATATATTTTATAATACTTATCCTTATCCTAATTGTAAAAATCTATGGCAATCAATTTCCTAATTTCTTTACTTTAACCGGATTTCAGTATTATAAAAGTAAGAAATTAGGAATTGTACAAATATATTAGTACACTGACTGGTGCAACTTGTCATTTCCTACGAAGAGGTAAACAAATTGGAAGGTATTTTAATTGAAATATTAGTATTTCGATAGTGCATATAGAAAATTTCACTTGATATAACTCTACATAATTTAGAAGTAACACATCGTGTATTCTTATCTTTTTTACTTTTACTTCATTACTTACCATTATATCACTATATCGTTGCAATAATGCTAAATAATATGCAGCAATTATTAGTTTCCTTTCCTTACTCTTCTTCCCTTAATTCTTCCCCTCGTAAATAAGGAAAATCCTAGCACTATAGAATTAAAAATATTTTCAAAAATAATTATTGCGTATTTTGCATCAAACATAGTATTATTCATTAAAATTATTACCAAAATTATTACCGATAGTAATTGAAAATAGATTCAAACGAGAAGACGTGAACCATGTAACAGAAAAGGATAAGATTTTTAGTAAAATAGAAACTAAAATATAATTGCAACTGACTAATTTTTATAATCTATGTAAACTCCATAAACCCCATTCAGGTACAAGCATTATCATTATTGAATAAAAGAAACATAAGCACCATCGACTTAAGCAAAAAAGAGAAATATGAATAAAAGTTTAAAAAAAGACCAAAATTCTTAGAAAAATAAGAAATAAAAAAAATATTATTACAAAATTAATTTTTTTAATCTATTTAATCTATATCATCTTAAATGGAGCATGATCATTTTCATTATCAAATAAAGAAAAATATAATACATTTCGATTTACCTAACGATTGTCTAGTTCTCACGATTAACATTCAGATTAAAAGGAAGAAAATGTTCAAATCTGTATTATAGTTGGACCAATTATACTGTTACACATACGATACAAGTATACCCGATATTTATACGTGATTGTTACTGATTCAGGTGGATGAACCTCTGAAAGGAAGTGCAGGAACCGCCCAAGTTGCATCGTTCGTGTTAGCCAGTCCTTGACCGGGATGATCTGCAGAAAAATGTAAGATAATGAAAGATCCAATAGAACACTTTCACCTGTATTCATCCCAGCCCTCTTCATTTACCGCAATTCTTGCGTATCTGTCAGAGGCATGGTGCAATTGAAGTTCAACTAGCATGCTTTCCCGTAGTATTAAGGTACGAGTTCACAAGTTACGTTATGGGCCAGACTGTATTTCATTGTGATTGTGATCCGTTACACACATCTACGATTTGGTATTAAGTGGTATTCACGAGTTGCTCAACACACGTGAGAAAGTTCATTTGTTTCTTCTAATCGAATTCGATTGATCTTGACCTTGCACAGGCTACGATACTGTTCACTCGCGAGGTCACATCTATGATTGCGAATATTGAGAGGACCATTAAGACATATGTCTTTTTTGGAGCATCGTTTTGATTTTATACGAGTGTTTTTAAAAATTCGTATTCCGTAAGAAGTTTGTTACTGGCAAGTATGAGTTACCATGGATTTTTGAAAAGAAGTTTCGATATTAGGTCATCGCGAAATTTATGTTTCGATATATCGTTGAATACTCGGAATGTTACTTTGATTTTTAACACTGATGTGAGAATTGTTTTTGAGAAATATTTCTCTTTTTTTTTTTTCTTTTAAATATTCTTTTATTGTAAATTTCATTTTAAAAGTGTCACTTCGTGCCAGTAACAAATAATTTCTTCTACTTTTATTCCACGTTTTTGAATAATATCCCGAGTTAAAAGTTGATGTCATTTTTTCAAGTAAAATAAAATAATTTAATTTCTTTTTTAAATTAAATTAAATAATTAGAAATAAATAGTTACATATAAATAAATCATTTTCCATTTTTTAAGTAAATTTTTTATTTTTTAATCAACGGTAAATATTCAATGGAAAAAAAGGAGTAAAAGTTGGCAGAAATTTCTGCTCATTGCAGAACAAGTTTGGAAATGTCACCTAATATGTTTCAAAGCCTCTTTACAGGAGGCCTCTTTACATGTTTTAGCTGCGAGCAATATGAAATGTTTAAGCAACGTGCGTGTTGGACAAGTTAGAATATTCTAATGGTTATGTAAATGTATACTTTTCATACCGATCTATCACTAGGATATTATATCTTGTATCATAAACACAGGAACATACATCATCCTAATTACATAATACAAACATTATTATTGACACCTTAGTCTTCTTCTTAGATGCTAGTCTCCTGGTGCCTCTTCATATGCGAGCTCCTCACACTTGCTTCCCGATCTCAATAAATTTTAAGATGCAACGTGTCTAAAGAACGAGTTATAGCGCGGGAAAGATCACTTGATTCTACTAGTTACAAGATGACTGCATTTTAATGTGCTCTAAGTACGACGAATTATGAAGATAAGCGTCTAATTCCTATTGCTCATTACGTAAACTTACGTGTTGCATAACATAACCTTACTTTAAATGTGGTTCAAATACCGGAGAAAGAATTTCATCGGTTGCTTGGCAATGTGACAAATACTTTTAAACGGAGGAAAAATGTAGGACATGAATGAAGTGAGAACAGATAAAAAAATTTATTTATCTAACGTAGAGTGACTGTTATATAGATTTGAACGTTGGTATCTCGTTGGTTATGCATGATATACATATTTACACACATCAGGTCAGATTATAAGGCAATAAAGATTAAATGCAAGCTTAGACATTCTTAAAATCATTTAGTTAGTTAATATTTTATTTAATATCTTCGGTAAATATTTGGGTTATATGGTTGCCTATAGTCTGAATCGTCGGGTCCAGGAGGATTAGCGGCAAGAGCTCGTCTGATTGCTTCTGGAATGGGAGGAGGAGTTGGCAAATGTGCACCTTGAGGATGGAAACCATTTTCATCCGCTGTATATTCCACAGTGATAGGAGTTCCATCTGGTGCAGGGTATGAAAATCTCCCTTGGACAACCTGTGAAATAATACAAAGAAAATTAGAGTTCGTTTATTTACAAAGTGTACACGGTATGAGTTATATTTCTAAATATTTATTTTTTGATAGAATAAAATGGATTTTTATTTTTGATTCGGTATCGCTTAGTTTGCGTGGTATTGACGAATAGATTAAATAACTTTTGAAATAAAATATAAATTATCATGCAGAAAAATGGTAAAAAGCAATTTTTTCATGTTTATATAGTATTGGTATTTTTGTTTCTTTGTAATATTAATTTTTGTTTCGTGAAATCTTCGTAATATCAATATTTTTTCATAATATTTTTATAATATTAGTATTCTTTTTCTTAATATTCATATCCTTTTTCATAATATTTGTGAATAAAATAAAATAATTGTTTAAAAGTATTTTAAACGAAGTATGTTCAAAATTTATGACAATTGTAATGACGATGGGCAATAGTTTGAAGTAAAGATTTTGACGGAGTAAGTCATTTCTTTAGTACATAAATATGTTCAAATTTATTTTGATAAACTGATTTTCGTATTGCAAAAATAGAGCTTGGTTTAGCACGGTAAGATGTAAATCATTTTTTCGATCAAACTTTTGCTACAAAGAGTTAGATTTTTTAAATAGAAAATGATACATAATACCCAGATGCAGTATATAATATGAAAGAAATACGGAAAGCGTGAAAGCGATTATATTATAATAACAGAAATTTACCTCTCCCTGTCCTTGTGCAGTGCCTTGTGGACGTCCGCTTTCTGCGACTGAAATTCCGTTTTCGGTATCATAGCTGAATGTATAAGTTCCATCTGGGTAAGAATCCTTTTGTTGACTTCGTATAGCTATAAACCTTCCAGGATTACTGTAAAGATAATAGAAATTTACCTTTATAGAAAAATGTATAGAAAAATCATATATTAAACGCGAAGTGTAACGTAAAAAATTTGTTACATTTAACATGTAAAATTTAATATTTATTATAATTTCTAATATTCATGAAAAATGTAATATTACTTATTTTTTATACACGCTATAATTAAAAATTTTTTAAATTAAATTTTGATATTGATTGCAATTTATAATTTTTTACATTTAATATTCAAAAAAATTTTCAAGCTTTTTTAACTTTATTATTTTTTTATATTCGTTCAAAATTTTTTATTCTTGGACTTTAATATGTATTACAGTAAACAATTTAAAAATTTTAATACGTGCCATAATTTTTATTTCTCTGAGCTTACTTTAAATAACTTTTGAAATAAAATATAAATTATCATGCAGAAAAATGGTAAAAAGCAATTTTTTCATGTTTATATAGTATTGGTATTTTTGTTTCTTTGTAATATTAATTTTTGTTTCGTGAAATCTTCGTAATATCAATATTTTTTCATAATATTTTTATAATATTAGTATTCTTTTTCTTAATATTCATATCCTTTTTCATAATATTTGTGAATAAAATAAAATAATTGTTTAAAAGTATTTTAAACGAAGTATGTTCAAAATTTATGACAATTGTAATGACGATGGGCAATAGTTTGAAGTAAAGATTTTGACGGAGTAAGTCATTTCTTTAGTACATAAATATGTTCAAATTTATTTTGATAAACTGATTTTCGTATTGCAAAAATAGAGCTTGGTTTAGCACGGTAAGATGTAAATCATTTTTTCGATCAAACTTTTGCTACAAAGAGTTAGATTTTTTAAATAGAAAATGATACATAATACCCAGATGCAGTATATAATATGAAAGAAATACGGAAAGCGTGAAAGCGATTATATTATAATAACAGAAATTTACCTCTCCCTGTCCTTGTGCAGTGCCTTGTGGACGTCCGCTTTCTGCGACTGAAATTCCGTTTTCGGTATCATAGCTGAATGTATAAGTTCCATCTGGGTAAGAATCCTTTTGTTGACTTCGTATAGCTATAAACCTTCCAGGATTACTGTAAAGATAATAGAAATTTACCTTTATAGAAAAATGTATAGAAAAATCATATATTAAACGCGAAGTGTAACGTAAAAAATTTGTTACATTTAACATGTAAAATTTAATATTTATTATAATTTCTAATATTCATGAAAAATGTAATATTACTTATTTTTTATACACGCTATAATTAAAAATTTTTTAAATTAAATTTTGATATTGATTGCAATTTATAATTTTTTACATTTAATATTCAAAAAAATTTTCAAGCTTTTTTAACTTTATTATTTTTTTATATTCGTTCAAAATTTTTTATTCTTGGACTTTAATATGTATTACAGTAAACAATTTAAAAATTTTAATACGTGCCATAATTTTTATTTCTCTGAGCTTACTATTTTGTACAATTTAAAATTTTTAAAATTGAATATTCGTTGAAATTCTTAATTCTTTAAATTTAATATTCACACAGTTTTAAATTTTCGAAATTTAATATGTATTTTCATATCTCGGAATTTTATATTTCATATTTGATTTAGTACTTATCTTTTTCAGTAGTACTTCGATAACACAAGGAAGTGTTATCATTTTTAACTATATTATTTATCATTTTTCACAATTTAAATTAGTATTTTCAATTGCTGCAGATAATTCGTCGTTGAATAATTATTTCAAGTTAATTAACTTTGATCTGAACGTTAATCGCAAAAGAAATGTATGAAATATAGATATATAAATAGAGAAATATATCTATATTTCATACAAAATGTGAAATATAAAATACAAATAAATAAATGTAAATATAGATATAGATATAGATATAGATATAGATAAAATTTAGGAAATAGATAAAAATTTATAAAATTTTATTATTAAATTAAAAAATAATATTTTATTATTTTAAATGAAAAAATTAGAAAATAGTATTTATAATAATCTTCTTTTTTTTTATTTAGAAGCATGTAATTGCATACTTATACTGAGGTGTATATTGGGGTTGTATCGTTGGCCTAGGTGTCGGTCGGTAAGCATTTTGGTTTGGGAAGCCACGGAATGCGCCATATTGTGCAACAGCACAGCCAAATAAAGTAAAGGCCAATAACTGTAATCAAACAGTGATTTTAGTAATAATCTGATGTAAACCAATTTTACAATAGAAAAATAGAACAATATTAATAATGTAATCGTACAAAACTTAAAATATTTTTCCTAAATATTTTTGAAACATACAATTGGATTATACTATTCTTTTTCAGATTGAATCAAATTTCTCAAATTTTTTATCCGACATCACGTTAAATGTGATGGTATTAGTAACAAATACGTTCGTTTTAGAATTTATATAAACCTACTTTGCCATTTTTTCAAATTTTCATTCAGCTATAATTCCCATAATACGGTTTTCAAGGAACTTCTTTCGAGAAGAAAACGATTACCAAAAAGTAACTTAAAATAACAGTCTTAAATAACAAATCAAAATACCATAATTAAAAATATCATACTATTATAAAGTCATCTAACATAGTTGAATTTTTTATTAAAGAATAGTATCAAGAGCGAGACTATGAACAAGTAGCTTCATTCGTTGTGACAAACAATGTAATACAATGTAATACTGTCATAAGTCTAATTGATATACAAAACTGATCGATACAATGACAATGATGACTTGGAAATACGTCGATCGATATCTAATGAGAAATCTCGTCCACTTTAGTTTAATGTCACTTATGTGTCGATATACAACGATCACTCACTATATGCTGCATGATGATGGCTGCTGTGTGACGTCCGTTTGAACAAGATCGAATCTGCAGTACCGTGTACAAGTACTGCCAGCATTTATATGAAGACGCTCAAGAAGATTTTCCCTTCCCATTCCCTCTGCTCATATGTCTAACCATTCTCCTCATAGCTTCTCGCCCTCACAATTTTGCCCCACCTCAATCCTGTTCTCGAACATCTTACATGATAAAATTAATGTTTCTCTGCACCAATCTTGCACGAACCAACGTCAGTCGGTAGCACTTCGTTTGTCACCCACTGAGCTTATCGATGCATCCGTGAGTAATTATGCTTTCAATGCTGTGATGTATCGGTACCCTATAGAGATAGTACTTTATTTGTTACTATCTCTTGGTAACGTTTCTTTCGTTATTTATATAATTCGGAATGTCATTTATAAAGAGAGTTTAAGCTTCAGAGATGTTGTATCGCGGGTTTGTAATTTCTTAGATACTTATTGATTCGCTAATACTTGTTCCGTTATTCATATAACTTGGTAGTTTTATCGTAACTTACGTAAAAGTTTGAATTTTAATTCGAAGTCTGAAATTTGAAATTTTCGAGATATAAACGAATAGTTGGACATTTTATATTTTGCGGATGACAAATTGGCAATATATCCAGGGGATGAAAATTTTCCTGCCGCGTAGACGTAATATGATAATCTCTGGTCTAAAACGTTGTTATATTCTACTGAAACATAAATGTCGAGGAATGTTCGGTATCTGTGCAATATATCAATGTCTATGTACATTTTGCACGAGAGTGTCACGAAAGGATAGTATAGCAAATTCCTGGCTGCAAAGAGCTTTATGGGAAGGATGCTACACTTTTGTATCCCCATATCGATAGTGGTCGCTAAAACGAGTTCAAGAGGTTGTAGCAAAAGGTCGTTCCAAGCTACAGAACATTGTAACTTCACTTTCTAGTACATCTTTTGCAACTTGCAAATATTCTTTTTCTGTCTTTACTAGCCAAGAATGTATAATCCTCTGATCTCTATATAAAAAGAAAATGGCCGAAGGATTATAAATATATGTCGATAAATTATAGCGTTGTCATCTTGGTCATGCTTTCTTCTACTTGTCCTTTGCTAATTTTAATCCGCGATATTTGATATTCAATGTGTTATGTAACACAAGGTTCAAGGTTGTGCAATACAAGGTATAAATCTTCAAGGTTACATGATATATGGTTCTACGAGAACCATTTGCAATAACTAGGAACTAATTGTCTTATATTGGGTGACTAATTGTGTATTCGTCAATTGATATAATTTTTCCAAATTATTCTACTAACAATAAACTGCGAACTGAGACTTTTCTATTATTATTATACTTCTTTTCATAACTTTCCTTTCTCATTGTTAATTATACGTTTATTTAATTTAGATATAAATTTTTTTTGTTAATATTAAAGCATCAAAAGTCAGTCATTGCGATAGGGTATAGTTTTTACGTTCATAGTGTATTCTTCGCTTTCAACAGCTTATGCAATTTCTTTGCTCCTGAGCAGGGACCACGCCTAAAGGTTTCATCTGGGTATTGTGTATGTAGATGTATGTATGGGAAATCATACAAGATATGAAAGGAGTAAAATATTATGTCTTGCGTAAAAAAATTGACCTTTAATTTGTTAATATATTATACAGGTAATAGTTCAAATGATAAAAAGCAACATAATGCAATTTCAATTTAATTAATCCTTTTTAATTTATTTCATTATATAACAATTATTAATTAATATTATTTTTATTTTTAATATAATCATATAATCGTTTAATTGTACGAATTTGTTAATATATCGTATAAATGTAATTAAAATGATCAATGAAGAGAACTTAAAGCAACTTTAGTTCGTTCAATTTGAATTAGTCTGTTTCACAATTATTATCTTACCGACATTTCTAGGTTATAATATTGAGAAACTTGTGCTGCATAAAAACGAAATTGTGTGACATACTGTCTTCAGGTAAAATTGATGTGTATAAATTAAAGAGTTGAAAGATTCACACATGATTAGTAAAATTTATATAAATTTTATGTATGTCGCGGAATTTAAATGTATTTGCATGCATTTTACCGATGATGTAACCAGTTAAAGCAAATTGAAAATGTATATTTCAATTTCGAAATATATTTTCAAAAAATAGAATTCAAAATGTAGTGTATTTAAACAGAGTACAAAATGTAATAGAATTTGTTTAAATTATTGCTGTATTTATCAAACATAAAAATACATAAAAATATTATCGATATATAATATATTACGGATGTAATATGTTACAAACATACTTAATCAATAAAAATATTATTATTAATAAACACTGATAAGAAACGTTATTGGTTAGACGTATTATTGAATAATATGCGAGTAATATGTAGTATGTATACATAACTTTTATATAATTTAATAATACGTTTACTGAAGTATTGAACAATTCAACGAAAGATTTGATAAAAGTTTGTAAATTATGAGAGAAACACGAATGAAAATGAAACCTCTAGCAGAAAGTTTAGCAAATACAATAACTATAATAACATCCCATTATTATAACTCTTAACAAATATAATAACCATCAGATAGAAATTTGTAATAAAATTTAATATAATAATACAGTATATTGACTAATTAGTTTAGGTATAATTGATCAAGCAAGGAATGAGAATAATAACATGAAACATTTGAAATTCAATTTTAATTAAGAAAACCAATTTAATAATTTTTACAAAAATTTCTTATATAATACTGGGCACATAATTTGAAAATATAATTATAAAATATAAATATAAAATATAGTTATAAAATGAGAATGATATAATAATACTTAAACAAAAAAGGTATATATTACAGATTAAAATGTAATAATTTAGTATATAGTAGATAATATATAATGTGACAAAAACGTAATATATATAATTTAACTATAATTAATGCAATACACATAATGTAATTACCTATAATCAATCTATATGATTTAACTATTTGGTATATATTACGTAGCGTGTACATATTTAAAAGTTAACGACGCCCTTATATTACATAGCAATATTAATAATTATATAAATATAAATCAATCTTAATTTAATAATATAAATTGAAAATTATAATTTCATAATATCTACAATAAATATTTTTTTATTTTAATGTCTTGTGAAACATTACCATTTAATTAATTCTAAAACATTGGGGTTAGAGTTTGAGGCAAGAATGACTTAAAAAAGGAGGAGAAAATTACTGTATTTATATTTGCAAAATTGAATTTTATATTGAAATATTCTATATATATTAAATTTTATAAAAATAAAATAATCTGTTTATACGTGTATGGTACATTATAATACTATAGTTGTTAATATCATTATTATCTACGTTAACTTAATATTTATCTTTTATTTAGAAATTTTAGGTACTCTAATGGAAGACTAGATTTACATTGTAAGTAATGTATTTCAAAGATGTTTATTGCATGTATATATATATATATATATATTATTTAACTAGAAATTAAAATCGTAAATTTCATTCAAACAGGTACACTAAATAATGTTATACATTTTCAATAGTGTTTAATACATATCAGTGTTATATAATTCTATTAATTCGTTATATATAATACTATGTAATATAATATATAGAACAAATTTTTGTATTTTGCTTCCCTAATGCTACAAATTTATAGAATACGAAGAATCTCTAAAGAAACCTTGAAACACTGACTATCGTATAGCACAAATATATATTATTTTCTAAACTGGTTATGATAACGGATAAAAAAATAAAAATAAGAAAACAATAACCCAAATACCAATAAACTTTTAACTTCACTTAAATTTTTCGATACTTACCATTAGAACTTCCTGTATTTTCTTACACATTCAACATTTAAAAGTTTAAAACAAATCGGTGGTTTTTTATTCGACAAACAATGTCATTGCTTCTACTATCTTAATTCCTCCTGCTGTGCCTCATTGCAGACTTCATTAAATGTAATTAATTATCATGATAAATCATCATCTTTCGATATCTAATTAAACAGGCTTCGAAACAATGGACAGGTCATTCATCCGCTGGCCGATGCAAAGGAGATCAAAGAAGAGAAATGAAAAATTGACGTGCTGCAACCTATTGGAGAAACAGTGCGCAAAAAGAAAAAGTCAAGTGATTCGAGATTGTGTATAGCGGATCAGTTTGCATAATTTCTAGATACAGCTGATCTGGGAGGACCCCGTAGGTATGCGCTTCTATCCGTATCTTTATGAGACTCGAAGCTTTGCTTGAGATGATGGGGCATACCTGAGCTGACGTGGTTAATAAAACGAGAAAGGTCAGACTGGATTCGAGTAACTCTCAAGATCTGGCTGCCACACCATAGCTTAGAGTATCATCTTGATTACATTTTATGATGGGATAATTTGATTAAATTAAGTGCTTAAATTAAATGCTCAAACCGTGAAATTTGTCTAGTGTATAGACAGCTTGGTTAATCAACGAGATTGTTAGACTAACCGTACTCCGCGTGTGTCAGATTGATTGAAAGGTACTGGCATTTCTTATTTTGAAAGAATTTTTTTTTATTATAATCTTTAGATAATTTGCAATTTATTTGGTGAACATTAGGTAAACCTTTTTGTTGCTTTGACTGAGTCAACGTGACGATACTCTGCCATGGGATCGGATCTGGGTGTGGGCAAGCTACGCTCAAGATGTTCTCAAGATGTTCTCAGGATGTTAGTTTCGTCTTGAATGAATAGAAATTGATTGCTTTAAATTCTTATTAACCTTTTATTAATTAGCTTTCACCATAATATCCTTTATTATCTATATATTTTATGTCTTTCACCCGTTTGAAAACTTATTTTTACCTATCGTAGAAATTTGGTAGAATTTTCTATTTTTATCAGTAAAACATTCTCTTACGTCATCTATTAATTGGTTTTTAGTTTTAGATGGTTTTTTTGTTTAAAGATTTTAGGAAACTTAAAGAAATTACTGATCAAATGAGGTTGTAAGAAATGCTTCTACTGCAGGATCCTCTAT